TTCATGGAGAATTTTATTTTTATTTCCATTTTGTTTAAATTTTATGGTATTCACAAACAATGATTGACTGTTTTAAAACGGAAAACCATTCAATGATTTAGAATCAGATTTAATAATAAATAATAAAAGAAGTTATAAATGGCTGGTAACTTAAATATTTAGCAGTCAAATTGGCTTGTGGGTGAAAAAGTTCATTTCAAACCCTGGTTATATGAACAAGTACTAGTTACTATCAGAATCAAGACTATTATCTAATGAACCAACAAATGCAATAGCAGAAAAATATACTAGTCACTATTAAATTATAGTAGTTATAGTAGTAAATATACTAGTAATAAAAAAACAGATACTAAATAAATGCTTTTTTTTTTTCTTTTTTTTTAGAATACTTAATGTTGCAATGGCTTGCCATAATCCTACACACTTAACATTATACACAAAAACAAAACCAAACAACCCAGAAGAAAACCCCCAAGAAAGTGTTATCTTACTTACTGCCAGCTGAAATGTGCTTTTGCTCCCTCAAACCCATAGTCTTCATGATCATGGAGATACTCTGCATGGGTGGATGTGCTCCACATAACCTGGAAGCATACAAAATGCAAAACTTTATGAGCATTTATGACAACCCAACTCACATTATGCACCTAACCAATTTAGTGTAAGGGGAAAAAATACCTTTTTAGGAACACAACCAACATTCACCTGCAGCAAAAGAAAAGTTGTTTAATAAACCAAGTCAATAATATCACCAGACAAAAATACACAGGTGCTGGTTTTGCATTACACACAAAAACATGCCACAAAAAAGCGCTGGATCTGGAGGCTTCCCAAAGCACCTCTGTTCATGTGACTAATGCAGCGACCAATTACTGTAAATAACTCGTCTAAAGAACACAATCTACATGGCTCGAAGGGAAATGTGGGTTTGCAGGAGCAGGATGATCTTTACTCACGCAGGTACCTCCGAGTTTGTTACTTTCGATCACAGCTGCAGTGGCACCGAGTTCAGCCGCCCGCCGCGCGACGGCCAGCCCTCCGGATCCCCCGCCAATCACTAGAAAATCAAAGCGCGTTACGGATTCAGATGCCATGCTGCGACCGAAGAGCCTACGAGAAGATGACAGAAACGTCCAAGAGTAAGAAAAGAAAAGACGCCCACAGTCGAGCCAGCGGGCTTAATATCTCCATAAGCAGGAAGCCAACACCCAGGCCAACGCAGAAGTTGAACTAATGGGAGGGACGTGAAAGCTTGTGCTTAGTCATTGTGAATTGACACAATAGTATGTAAATCCCAGAAGCAAGTTTGGACAATAGTCATCATCGTTACCCATGCTTATCAATGTCCTTCACTGTCAATCCCATCCATAATATCCCGGGTGCTGAACCTATGATTCACTTTGCGCCTAGCCATGTTGAAACAGACAACAGTCTGCTATATTTGATAATGGGAAATATTTCGCTAAAAGACAAGACAGTTCAATTCACCGAACACAAACAAACTCACCGATGAAGTGCAGCCGTTACATATATACCTGTAGTAGCGGAAATCCTTTTGCTGTACATTGTAAACATTACATATAACAAATTAAGTGTGGCTACTTAGAGGTGCTGAGTTATAAACTCGTTAGGTGTATTTATGCTGCCCATCTTCGTGTTCATAACGGATTGTGTCGGTGTAAACTGTGAAGTCAGAATAAAGCCACTAGACGCATGCGCGTTTCAACGTGCTGCGCTACTGAACAGAAACACATGACCATGCAGTGTTGGGAGTAACTGATTACTTTTTGCTGTAACGCAGTAGTGTAAGGCATTACTAATCAATTTTCAGTAATATTTTACTCGGTACATGTTCAAAAACACACTTTTAGCCCCAAATTTAATTGTTCAAAGAAAAAAAAAAAACAGCAAGACCGCGAGACTTTAACGAATCAAAAATGCCGCAAATAAGTTATATTTCCTGTTCGTGGTCAGTCAATAGCCGCGTGTGGTGTCCAAAGTTTGTAAATAAAGACTAAACGACAGCTTCTGATATATATATCTCTCTCTTTTTTTTTTTTATGAAAACAGAACAAATAACAAACAGAGCATAGCATAAGACAATCAGTGCTATATAAAGTGTGACATTAGTTAGCAACGGGAACTGAAAATAATGTCATAATATTTTAGACATGTTAATGACTTTTTGTTTTTTAACAATTTCAGAGACGATATAAAACAATCAAATTCCACTAAAAATACCTTAAATATTGGGGATGAATTTAAGCATTTTTGTTTATGTATATAAAATTTTGCCAGCAATATGAATAAATTAACAATGTATTCAAGACCTTTGTTAACATTGTTCTCATAGTACACAATAATATCCTTTAAAAGAAAAACAGTATTTATCCTTTACTAGATTAAAAATAAATTCTGCCAATTCCTTCCAAACATTTTGGGTAATTTTACAATCGAATGTGATAACACCTCTTTCTCATTTTTACAAAAGGAGCATAAATCATCAATATCAGAGTATCTTGAAATTATTGATTTAACAGGGTAGACGGTATGCAAAATTTTAAAATGTATTTCTTTAGTTTTGTTATTGATACAGTATTTAAAGGGAATTAACCAAGCAGTCTTCCAATTAATATTATAAATAATAGAGTTCCAAAAGAATTTTCCTCTAGGTGTTATTAATACAGGAGTCATGTAACGCATTACAATTCTGAGACAGTAATATTGTAAGGTAAGGAATTATTTTTAAATAACAGTAACAAGTAATCTATAATGTATTACAGTTTGGAAGTAACTTGCACAACACTGCACATGACAGAGGCGGCATTATATTAATACACTGGGAGGAATAGAAATTAGTATTTGCGGTAGTCATACCGTTCAGACGTCTAGGGTCAGTAGGATCATTTCCAAATAAATTACTTTTTATACTCAGCAAGGACGCATTAAATGAAACAAATGTGACAGTAAAGACTTTTGAAAATTTTAAAAAGTTGTTCTTTTAAACTTTGTTCATCAAGGAATCCCGAAAAAAAAACTGCTTTCAACATTAATAATATTAAGCAATGTTTCTTGAGCAGCAAATCAGCATATTAGAATGATTTGTGAAGGATCATGTTAGTCCAGTGAAGGCGTGTTTAGGGCGGGTTTTACAGGAGTGCCGCGAGGCTACTGGCCCGACAGTGGAAACCGTGCTCGAGGTCCAGTGGAAAAGCGGCTAATAACGAGGAATTTGTTTTCGTGACAGAAGCTTCCACAGTGTAACAGAATGACAGTGACAGAACAAAAAAACACAGATAATAAAAAAAAAAAAAAAATTGGCATTAGTGTTTACATATATAGTCCTATTGTGTCTAATATGAATAGAGCCAAGCTATTCACTGATATTGCCAGATAATCACTTTACCTCTACCATACTTTTAACAGACTTGGATCGTTTGTGATTCTGGCTGTCATCCTTTCTTGCATTGTCGTGAGCCTTCACTTTGCCAATTATAAGCTATATTGTTAGTATCCTGGATAGCCCACAGTCATTATGATACACCATATCGCCCTCTACTGGATGTAAAATGCTCTGCAGTACATTTTGTCATTTTAGAATGTTAAGTTCTACTTCTGTAGTTATTTTAGTGAAAGTAACTCAAAAGTAATACAGGAGTCATATGGTAACACTTTAGAATAGGGAACACTTATTCACTATTAACTACGAATTTTCCCTCAATAAATTCCTAATTTGCTGCTTAATAGTTAGTAGGGTTGTTGTTAAGTTTAGGTATTGGGTAGGATTAGGGATGTAGAATAAGGCATTAATATGTGCTTAATTACTACTAATAAATGGCTAATATTCTAGTAATATGCATGCTAATAAGCAACTAGTTAAGAGACCCTAAAATAAAGTGTTACCTTAAGTTCTACTTCTGTAGTTATTTTGGTGAAAGTAACTCAAAAGTAATACAGGAGTCATGTAACGCATTACAATTCTGAGACAGTAATATTGTAAGGTAAGGAATTACTTTTAAATAACAGTAACAAGTAATCTATAATGTATTACAGTTTGGAAGTAACTTGCACAACACTGCACATGACAGAGGCGGCATTATATTAATACACTGGGAGGAATAGAAATTAGTATTTGCGGTAGTCATACCGTTCAGACGTCTAGGGTCAGTAGGATCATTTCCAAATAAATTACTTTTTATACTCAGCAAGGACGCATTAAATGAAACAAATGTGACAGTAAAGACTTTTGAAAATTTTAAAAAGTTGTTCTTTTAAACTTTGTTCATCAAGGAATCCCGAAAAAAAAAACTGCTTTAAACATTAATAATATTAAGCAATGTTTCTTGAGCAGCAAATCAGCATATTAGAATGATTTGTGAAGGATCATGTGACACTTAAAGACTGGTAATGACTGATGAAAATCAGCTTTGCCAACACAGGAATATATAAAATATATTAAAATATAAAACAATTATTTTAAATTATTTCACAATATTACTATTGTTACTGTATTTACCAAACGTTTGAACAGTCGTGGCATTGTTATGTGTTCTGTTAACACTTTAATGGGCACATCCAGAAAAACCTAACCATGTATTTGAATGCATGTATTTACAGTTTGTGGTTCCTTATATTTAGGCTTTGTAAATACCAGATGGTTAAGACATTTATGAATGAGAGAGAGTAAAGGAGGGAGGGAGAGCTTTCTGTACTGACATTGATCATTCACATTGAAAAAGGCTTGAACACCCAATAAATGTGAGAAGTCTTTACATGTTATAGTTCAGCTATATTTCATTATCATGTATAAAATCTCATCAGTTCACCAAAACAAAAAGTAAAAACAGAAAAATAAATCTCTATGGGACACAATAAAACTTGCCTTGACATGTAAAATGGAATCCAGTAGCAGGAGCAAAACAAACACTCGCCAGAAGACACTTTTTTTTATAATATTTATGATGACCGTTACAAATGAGAGAATAAATCTGAGTGATGCGTCATATTAAGGTACTTTATTAAACAATTAAACTGAAACGAAGTGATTAAGTGGCAACAAGTCAGCAATCCATTTTTCACATAAATATTTTCTTTATTGAGCAGAAACAAGTTGTTACACAAGGATCTTCAGCTGAGCGATTTCACTGGTCATTCTCATAGTCTTCAAGATTCTTTCTTTTGCTCTGTTCATGAACACGATTGCCCCATGTGTAGGTCAGGTACATCAGAACCATGGCTGTAAATAGAGATGCAGGTTTGTAGAAAAGTTTAGTCATACACAATGTTTGCTTCAATTCATAGCTGGAATACATACATATATATATATATATATATATATTTCAGACAAAGATGACTTACGTGGTGCAACCTTGAATACAGATGTTTTGAATCGTCTCCACACATTTGGGATTCCCTTAGAAAAGTAGTTTGGGAAAGCCCTCTGTTCAAAGGGAGAAATACTGTAGGTGATCACATGCCTTATCTTGGCCAAATCTCCGAAGTGATGACCCATTGTGCCAAGAAAGCTGACCTAAGAGAAATTTAATTCAAGTTTCACTTTAGTAATGTTTAAAATAAAACATAAGACAACAGTAACATTTCACTGTCAATAATTGAATCAATAAATTTAAAGAAATTCTATATTTGAACATATTTGTTAAAAACAGCTGTATATGTTTAAAAAAAAAGCACAAAACGAAATAATTTTTTTTATACATTGTATTTAGAATTTTTTACAGTGTTATTTTAAATTAAAATATTAAACAATATTACTGGTTTTACTATATTTTGGATTCAATTATCAAATATATTCCATTAACAATTTACAGTAATACACAGACATACAAATTAAATTATGCCAACAAAACATAACATCGTGAAAATGAACAAAATATTATGTTATATTTCATACATTAAAAATATTTTTATATATTTTAAGTAAATTAATTACAGTTTATTTACAACCAACGTTTATTTTTCCCCTTCAGTACTGATCCAAAAATAGTTTACAGTATCTCATGTAATAATTAGTATTGTTGATTGTTTGTTGTATCCATTTAATAATTGAATTAATTAATTTGAATACATTGTGAATTTCAACAACATGTAGCTGCTGTACATAAACAAATCCAGGCTTAGGGTTAGAATATAACAGTGTAAAATATCAAAATCAAATGTTATATACAAACGTCCATTCAATTTACTAAGTGGGAACTGCATAGAGTAATAAAGCGGAACAGATAAATTAAATTTTATTTTGATAAACACGACTCATGCGCAACTTGTACATCATCTGGCAAAGATGACAGATATGAGTGAATATGGTTACTTACAAATCGCATTAATGAAATATCTAGAATTTCTTAGCAAGAGACAGAGTGTGCAGACAAAACTCACTGAACGTTTAGTCACATTTATAAGTGGCGTTCCGTGGCTAGGCTAGCAGCTTTCTTTAAGACCTTGCTTGACATTCATCTATCTCGCACTGTTTCTGTTTACACATACATTTATACTGCACAAACATTCATGCAATGGCTAAATTAAGATAACGTCGCAATTTTGACCTCACCAAAGTGAAAATACAAGACAAAGAAAGGAAAGATTTTCAGCTCACCAACCTCACTGCTCTCTGACACCCTTGTAGTGCTGTGGATTCTAACAACTTCCGCGTGCAACCTGAAGTCACATCCGTTTCCTCTTGATTTCACGCGTTCTCATTGGCGCGCCGCTCTACTGTTTCCTGGCTATCGAGACACGAGAAGGTCAGCATTGCGCTGGAACAGTGTATAAAGTGGTCAAATATCACCATTAAGGGATTCTCCCCAATGGATAATCAAGGAGTCACGACAGACCCTCAGCTGCAGCAGTTTATCGAGGTCGAGTCTCAAAAGCAGAGGTTTCAGCAGCTGGTTCATCAGATGACAGAAGTGTGCTGGGTGAGTGTGTGTGTTTCTGTCCTACTGGGCTGCATAATGCATCACTTCTTGAGGCTGTAGAACATATGATAGAAGACTGACTCTGTATATCCTGTCTGATCACTTGAGTTGTTCGCAAGTTTATGATATATAGTTTTTTATTTGATGTAGTTCAAGTAATTATTAAAACTAAAATGTGCTGCTCTCTTTTGTCTTGGGTTTGTTGTTACCCTTTATTATATACAACAGTTGTATCGATATGTATGTGTGTGTGTCATGGGATTTATCTCTGTAATAATTGGTGGTATGATATTGTATCCAGTTATGTACCTCAATCCAATCCAAAATGGATGAACCAGGTTACATGTCCCTCAAAACTCTTATTTTTGTTTGCCAAATACATCAAGGTCATCAGTCGTGGGTTTCTTTGGAGCTCATAATGTTTATCTTTGCAGGAGAAGTGCATGGATAAGCCTGGCCCGAAGCTCGACTCCAGGACAGAGGTGTGTTTTGTAAACTGTGTGGAACGATTCATCGATACAAGTCAATTCATCCTCAACAGACTAGAGCAAACTCAGAGGAGTAGAGGAACCTTCTCTGAGACCATGACAGACTAGTAGAACCACAGCCAATGACAAGCCATTTACTGAGGCTTTGGCATGCCAGCGTAAGAACTGTGAGGTAACGGCTATCATCAGGATTCAGTTAATTTCTCAAAGACAAAGTGCCTCATTTTGCTCTTTTTAATATTGCAAAGGCCATTTATTCAAAATCAAATGGATGCAAGCCCTGTTTATCGTTACCGTCGATATTGACATTTCCCAGTGCTAAGACTTCGGTATGAATTCAAGGAAACATCATGGAACATAAAAGTGAAAGGTCCCTTTGTACAGATCTGATCTGGAATTGAGGAGGAGGCTCTGCTTTCCCTTTCTCTTCAACCTACATACCAAGTCAGCACTGCATTGTCTTACTGGGAAATCTTCAAGATCTGTGGCTTATTCAGTGTGTGTTGAAATATGGACTTGAAATAAAATCATAAAATATCTCTTGCAGTTCAATCATATGATTTATAAAATGTCATAGGAAAAAGTTAAATAACACTCAAACTCCTTAAATACTAATGAGACATCTTCAGTGTGCTATTTAAAAAAATTACCAGGCACTTCAGATATATATAGAAAACAATGCACCACCTCAGAAGTTTAGCTGTTGCTTAAGAAAAGATTTTTGTAGATATAAAGATGTGTTCCCTAAGACTAGTATAAGACGATTACACTACTGTTGAAAAGTTTGGGGTCAGTAAGATTTAAATTGATCAAAAGTGACTTTTGCTGTTCTTTTGATTTTTCTATTTATCAAAGAATTTTGAAAACATTTTCCACAAAAATATTAAGTAGCACAACTGTTTTCAACATTGATAATAATAAGAAATGTTTCTTGAGCATCAAATTTCTGAAGGATTGCGAGACACTGAAGACTGGAGTAATGACTGCTGAAAATTCAGCTTTGCCATCACAGGAATAAATTACATTTTTAAAATGACTGAAATAGAAAACAGTTAATTTAATTTGTAATAATATTTCACAATATTACAATTTTGACAGCATTTTTGATCAAATAAATGCAGACTTGGAGAGCATAAAATAATTACTTAAAAAACATCAAAACTTTTAAGTGGTAGAGTATAAGTAGTCAAGCACACTATTAAAAAAGTTAATGCTTTTATTGAACAGATGAAGCTTTAAATGTTAACAGTAAATTTAAGGTGCTTTATATGAATGTAATCCTATGTATATCCTAAACAAGGCAGGTTTGGTCAGAATAAATAATGTAACATTTAATAAGATGATGTAAAGCAGGTCTTTAAACATTATGCTGCTACTTCAGGATTTTTGTATTTACAAGTGATTGGGCACAGCATTGTTAGTTTGAAAATATCACCAGCATAAAACTAACAGATTGAAAGATGGAAATAGAAATAGATGGAAAATCTATAACACAAGTACCTTCTATACTAAATAAAATACTAATTAAAGTACTCTCACAGTATTGTTTTGCAAAGTGTGCATGTACAGTAGCAAATAGTAAAGCTGTATTTTAGTAGTCACCCACAAGCATGATGTGTTTTTACTGATATTATGCTAGGTATTAAATGTGCCGTTGCTCATTTTGTCTGAACTCTCAGGAAAAAAGCTCTTTGCATTTCTTTCTTTAGTCAGATTGCTTTCATCCATAGTAGTTCTCTCATCAGTTGGCAAAGCAATGTACGGTTGGTTCCATGTTCTGTCTTGAGGTCCATGGTGCAGATATAAAGGTAGAGAGTCCAAGCTAAAGTTGATGTCCTTGAACGCATGAAGAAGAAAAATGCCAATGATGATGGTAAGAAAGCCACTAACAGTCCCAGCAGCCCCGTCGGCCAACATTTGCAGCCACTCTTTAAACAAGATGGCTGAACAAGCCATGACGGATGTGGTGAAGAAGACATAATAAATAGGTGTAACTAAAGAAGTGTTGAAGATGTCAAGGGCCTTATTAAGGTAGCTTATCTGGATACTGATGCAGATCACAAGGCATACGAGAAGGGCCCAGAACAGCGGTTCTTTCAGAACAGCCGTTCCAGCGAACAGCTCTTTGATCCCAATGCCGAGGCCTTTCACACAGGACACAGACAACGAACCAATCACAGAGCAGATGAGGATGTACACTAGCACATTCTTCTGACCATAGCGAGGTGCGACAAAGAAGATCAGGACCAGGCTGCTGACAACAATGCAGACAGCAAAAGCGATGAATCCTGTGATACATGCAAGAGAGACAACTCTAATGAAAAACAGCACAGAACTCACAGAATGCCTACTGTGTTTGTAAATTAGATAGAAGAATACCTGGATCTTTGAGTTTCTCTGCCATTGCAGTCAAAGAAGCAACCTCTTCCTCTTGCGGAGCGTGGAGCACCATAACTGTGGAACCAAAGATGCACAGCAAACAGCCAATTTTCCCATGGATATTCAACCGCTCACTCAGGAAGTATGATGAAAGGACAGCACTAATGACAAAAAATAAGGTTGTATATCCAGTCAAGTTTTAGACAGAATTAATGTTCGGGTTGAGACTGTACAGCCTGTACAACCCTAAACATTTGGAGTTTTTTTGAAAGACATTTACACTTATTTAGGAAGGATTCATTTGATCAAAAGTGACAGTAAAGACATTTATAATGTTACGAAATATGTCTATTTCAAATAAATGCTGTTCTTTTTAAATTGCTATACTTCAAAAAACATGAAAAAAAAGACATTTTCCACAAAAATATCACATTTCAACATTGATAATAATAAGAAATAGTTATTGAACTCCAAATCATCATATTCAAATGATTTCTGGAGGATCATGCAACACTGAGACTGGAGTAACGGCTGCTGAAAATTGAGCTTTTCCATCACAGGAATAAATTACATTTTAAAATATATTAAAATAGAAAACAGTTATTTTGAATTGTAATATTATTTCACAATTTTACTGTATTTTTGATCAAATAAGAGACCCCAAATGTTGTACATTGCGGTGTTGTACATCGAGTAAATTTACCTGACCAAAACGCTCAGTGCTCCCAGAGGTGTTACTAATGTGGCAGGAGCAAATGCATATGCTGCGAAATTTGCTATCTCGCCTATTCCCACTGAAAATAAAATACATGACAAGACAAAAGATTGTGATTAGAGTGTCCATACTGACATATGCAGGTGTGAATGGCAATATTTCATTACTAAGATCTATTAATCATCCTACACATCTGATTAATGTCCGTATTCTGGTTATGCCTTATAATTCAGCCCCACTAATTACAAATAAATAGATAATGTCATACTTGATATAAGCCCTGCCCACCACAACCATTCTTTCAGGTATGCATATCCACCTTGACCTGAATAATGAAGAGAACAGACCTGATTAGACAGCACAAGAAAAATTCAGTCACAATGTCAAAGGCATAAAAAAAATGTATGCAATTCAAATGCTGCCTAATAAAGTATTGTGCAATGGTAGGTTACTCTGTAAATTTTATTAACCCACCTGCTCTAGTAGAGCCCTTTTTGGCCAGTCGTAAGAGGCCTTTCTTTTTCAATATGAAACTGCCACCGATGAAGATTGTCGAGCTTACAGCAAGTGCCAAACCAATGTAGAAGTCAGAGCGGTTTGCAGCATTCATCTGAATACAGTTAGAAGTCCATTAGACACAAGTGGTTATGTCTAAAAACCTAGTGAGCTGCCTAGATGGCATTTTTTAGGCATCATAAGCACAGCTGAGTAAAGCTTACAATGCCCCAACATGATATCTATGTAGACAGCACAATCTGATTTAAAACAGCCACAGAATAGAAAAGGAAGCAAGCCAGATCATGTGATTCACGCCTGCTTTTCTTTTCACATCGCCAGTTCTTCAAAACAATATTTTACTGTAGACTATTTGTCTATATACGCTATGCATTTATAACTACAGGAAATACAGAATCACAGCATTTTTTTTTTTTTTTGTTTACAAAAAGATTTACATATATTTTGATTGGCTCACTAAGCTTTCATGTATTTTACGCTAGCAAGTAGTGATGTTTCATGTTTCGGCAATTATTTACATTAGAATTTAAGACTACATTAGCAATATACATTATATTATATAAACACTAGCAATATAAATAATTGTTAAACTGACTAACCTTGCATTCATATCGTCCTTCGGTGAGTTTTAGTCTCGTGTGAATAAACTTCCTGGTGACTGTAACGCGGGGTTGCCAGATGCTCTTGATTAACTTCAAACATGGTCAGGATAGGCTACTATTGGGTCTGTTGTCTGGACATTTTGGGGGATTTATCTTTTGTTTATATGAAGCCCTTCTGAGACAGATGCTACTTTCTAGGTTTTTGTGCATGATAACTTAAATTGAATTTGGTGGAACTGTGTAAAATTTCTGCTTTTGAAAGCCCTCAGGTATGTAAACATCAAGTGTTTCATTTTAATATTTTTTCCGCTGTTTAAAATCTGCAGTTTGTAATTTGAACAACAACAGTTATGTGATGATATAAATGTGTAACATGGAAATATTGTGTTGAGATTAGTTTGGACCAGGCTAGGAAATCAGATGAGACCATTTTAGACTTTTAATTAGAGAACTTTAATTTATTTTAGAGAACTTTTAATCAAAATAATGCTGGTTAATCAAACAAGTGTTTACTGACATTAATGGTGACAAATGCATGTAAGTTTAAAGTAGTATTAAAAGAGAGTGACAAAAATCAGTGGAGCCAGAGGGATATTGGAAACTGCTCTCATTTTATTCAAAACACAGCTAGATTAAAAAGTGTAGTCTTTAATTAAATAGCCATCAAATTTAAACCACAGAAGAGAAAAATATATTTACACATCAATACTGGAAGATTTCTTCTAGATCGTACTTTGTTTTACTAAAGTTTACTTATTTATATATATATATA